CCTGGATGAACTGATGCATTTTAATCATATCAAAATTTTGTGTTTGCAGCTCGATTTGGCATTGACTGGAATCCGGAGAAAGAGGTTGAGAGAGATGCCAGAAGTTACTGTCACATCTAATAGCAAGACACATGGGAAGAAAGTTTACATTGATGGAGTTCCAGAAAGCTCTAACTGTAGGTTGGGAGATTCTGGAACCCTTCCAGGCAATATGATGCCACAGCATGCCCATGAAAATTTGACCGTTCAAAATATGAGTACAAATAACTTGTTGGCCCTAAGATCCAAGAGTTTTATGACTGATGCTTCTGTTCCAGCACCACATTTAGTACCCAACCAATTGAGGTATCAAATGGGTGTTGGAACCCCAAGAAGTGTGCAGGACCCTGGATCAGGAAGTGTTGTCAATGCATCACCTTCCCCAGTTGGGCAAGACATGATGATCTCGTATACTGACAATGTGAACGGTAATGTCCCTCTTCATGGAAAGAGAGAGCATCCGGATGGACAAATGTCACCCTTATCTAGTTTTAATAAGAGACAAAGGCCCACACCAGTTGGCCACGATGGAATGCAACATCAGCAAATAGGGCCACATATGGATAGCTTCCATGGATCAGATATGAACTGGAAGAATAACTATTTGCAGCAGCAAGCAATGGCTAAAGGAATTCAGTTTTCAAATACAGGCATTCAGAAGTTTTCCCAGCAGATGTTTGACGGGGCAATGAGTCAGGACCCTGGGACAATGCCATTTGCTGTAGGACAGCCAAACATGAGATTTGGTGCCAAGGAAGAGCCGTTGGAGACAGGTAAGATAGATGGGTCAGAGCTCGGTGGGATTAAGAACGATATGCAGATCATGGAAGGAGACACAAGCCATCTCGATCCATCGAGGCTTCACCAAAGATTACCACAGCATGCATTCATGAGATCTAATTTTTCTCAGCCATCCTGGAGTAATCTTGGTCAGAATATGGAGAAAGATGCAAGAAAGGATGACCAATTCCCAAAAAGAAAATCATCTCAAAGTCCTCGGTTTTCTTCTGGGGCTTTGGTTCAATCCCCATTATCATCAAAGTCGGGGGAGTTTTCTACTGGTTCCGTAGGACCCCACTTTGGAGCAGCTGCAGTAACTTCTGCTGTAGGGGCATCACAGAAAGAGAAGGCATTAATGACCTCAGTTCCTACTATTGCAGCCTCATGTTTGACTTCCAGTGCTAATGAGTCTATGCAACGGCAACACCAGTCTCAAGCTGCTGCTAAACGGAAAACAAATTCGCTCCCTAAGACCTCAGCAATGACTGGTGTTGGATCTCCTGCCAGTGTTAGTAATATAAGTGTTCCACTAAATGCAGGCAGTCCTTCTGTTGGAACTCCATCTTCCGCTGATCAAACCATGCTTGAAAAATTCTCAAAAATTGAAGCGGTGACCATGAGGTATAACCCAACTTTTTACCTTTTGATTATATGTTAATAATGGTACTAGTTTTGAATTTATGTGATTTATTTGCACTATATCACCGGCACTTTATTTTCCCTCTCCCTGACCTACAGGCGGATAGAAAGTTGAAATTTTTTAAATGTGTGTGTTCCTTAATTGTGTAAGCATTTATCAGGAAATAGTTTCGACTCAAGGAGATAATGGTAGATTCTAAAGTCTGGCTACATGATTTTCTCTCCCAGTTTTTGTTTACTTTCCCTTCACATAGTTTTTCTAACTTGCAAAAATTCCAGACAAATTTCTTAGATCTTATCTTCTTTGGTGGTGAAAGACGGCTAGTTAATTATATAGCAATAACAGTTTAATTATTTTCAACTGGGTGTTGTTTTAGGTATCATCTCAACAAAAGAAAGAATAAGGTTGATGACCACCCCGTCAAGAAGCCAAATGCATTCCCAGATCAACATCTGCGAGCCTGCCTGTCAAATGGTTCCAATAATGAGGATTTCAAAGATGATTCATGTGAGAGACCTTTGTCGAAGTCACTTGTTGGTGGAAGCATGAATATCTGCAAAATTAGAATTTTGAATTTTGTGAAGGAAGAGCATATTGTTCAAGGTGCAGTATATCCTATCAATCAGTTATGCCTTTTGTTTTAATATATTTATTCAAATCTGGGCCAGATGTTTCAGTTTGGTTACAAACTTATATATCTAGTAGAATTTCTGTCTTGCTTATGATTCAAAAATCTACTTTTGACTCTGCAGGAAATGTTGTTTATCTTCCCAAGCAGCGAACTAGGTTGATCATGTCAGAGAGACCAAATGATGGTACTGTAGCAATGTACTACGGCGAAGTAGATGATGGTGATTTTCTGTCTGCCGAGGAACATCTTCCTACATTGCCCAATACTGTAAGTGTTATTCTACAAGCTACACTTTGCTGTCTGAGGTGATTGTTTGAACACAGCATTACCAGAATTAGTTGAGGCTATCAACAAATTATTTTGTCATCCCATCTTACTGAAGATTTATTTTCTCAAAATATAAATTTACAGAAATACTTGTCTTTTGTGGTTTGATATTTTTAGCATTTTTGCTCTTTATTTGTTATCATTTTCACATCCCTGTTCCAGACTTCCTTTTGCCCCTTCAAATCATGCTGTTGGCTCGTGGAATTTTCCTGCATGTATATTCTCCATATTCTGCCATTGGTTGCACAATGTTTGTATGATATTTGTCCTAAAATATTCTGCTTTATGGAGCTTGGTGGCATTCACAATAATTTGTTATCATATGGTTGATCGTAACGTATTACACAATTTTTAGAAGAGTCAATCGTAACTTTGTTTCTGTAAAAGAGCTTGACTGGATCTAAGTCGGGATAACCTTCACTGTATATCATTCATTGTGTTTTCTGTTGTACTGACGTTTATATCTATACTTATTCTACAACAGCACACAGCGGATTTGCTTGCAGCACAGTTCTGTTCACTGGTATGTTTTAAATGTTCTTGAAGTTAACTAAGAGTTTAAATTACACACTTCGTTTGTGATTTATGTTATATTCTTTTTCAGATGGTAAAGGATGGTTATGATTCAGAGAATCACATCCAACCAAAGCCAACCCGCATGACTATTGCCCCAAGCATTCAACCAAATGCTTCTGGGCTCCCCCGTAGCAACTCCGCAACTGAGATGCAACAATATGCAGAGTCAGTTTCAGGCCAGCCGTCCAATGAGGTTGCAAAGTCAATTAGTGGCAATAATTCATCCTTAACTGCATCCCAGAATCTTCTACCAAGCACAAGGATGCTGCCCCCTGGAAACCCTCAGGCCTTACAGATGTCTCAAGGGCTCATGACAGTGAATTCGATGCCTCAACGCCAACAACAGATCGAGTCACAACCATCATTCCAGCAGCAGCAGCAACAACACCAGCAGCACCAACAACTACAGCAGCAACAGCAACACCAACCACCACCTCCACAGCAGCAGCAGCAAAGCCAACACTCTTTGATTCAACAACAGAATCCCCAGCTCCAGAGATCAATGATGCTGGCAGCAAATTCGCTTTCACAGTTTGGGAAGAATTCCAACATGCAGTTACCCATGGCGAATAATAAGCTTACCACCCTGCAATATCACCTATTACAGCAACAACAGCAACAGAGTCCGCAGATGCAGAGAAAAATGATGATGGGACTTGGAACAGCTATGGGAAGCTTAGGCAATAACATGGTTGGACTTTCTGGTGTTGGAAACACGGTGGGCATGGGAGCTGCAAGGGGAATGGGATCTGCGCCCATGACGCCCATTTCCGGAATGGGCAATGTGGGTCAGAATCCAATGAATTTAACCCAGGGTTCAAATATTAGCAATTTAACCCAGCAATTTCAAACTGGAAGATTAACACAAGCTCTCATGGCATCAAAATTGAGGATGCAACCGAACCGAGGGGGCATGTCAGGCAGTCCTCAGTCGGGCACAGTTGGGCTGCCGGGAGGCAGACAGATGCATCCTGGATCTGCTGGTTTCGCAATGTTGGGTCAGACTCTGAATCGAGGCAATATGAGTGCAATGCAACACAGGCCAGGAATGGGGCCTATGGGTCCACCAAAGCTGACGGCGGGGATGGCAGGGACAAATATGTACATGAACCCGCAGCAGCAGCAACAATTTCAGCAACAACAAATGCAGCAGCAGTTACAGCAACAGCAATTGCAGCAGCAGCAATTGCAACAGCAGCAGCAAGAAACGACTTCACCACTACAGGCTGTTGTTCCGCCACAGCAGGTGGGCTCTCCCTCGGGAATTTCACAACTGACCCACCAAAGCCAGCAGCAGCAGCAGCAGCAGGAGGCTAGCCCACAGCAAATGAGCCAAAGAACTCCGATGAGTCCACAGCTGAGCTCAGGGGCAATGCATACCATGAGTGCTGGTAATCCAGAGGCTTGTCCCGCGAGCCCACAGCTAAGCTCTCAAACGCACGGCTCAGTTGGTAGTATGGCAAATTCTCCTATGGACCTTCAAGGTATGAATAAGAGTAACTCCGTGGGTAACCCGTAGCAAAACTATCAGATCTTTGGGGGTGTTCTGGGGAGGAAATAGTTCAGCCTCCCCCTCAAATCCCACAGTTAAGTCTGACATGTAGAATTATTAGTCATTTTAACACAGTAACATTTACATAAATTTTGGCAGAAGAAGTATTAGCTTAGACTTAGTACATGATATCACCCTTTTTTCCAGGGTAAAAAGGTGAATATATATATATATCTACTGGAGTGTAATGATTTATGCTAGAAGGGGCTGAGAAATGAGATCCATCCTAGTGTAAATTCTTGGGGAATGGTTAATGTTTATAAGTGAAGATTGATTGTGAAAGTATTTTCAATTTATTTATTTATTTTTTTTTTTTTTGTGGCCAAATTATTTCCTTGTTTATTTCAATATCCAATGGAGAAGGCAGGTCGTGTGCGTATACTTGTGTCCTTTCCATGAGAGAACCTACTACTTCTTCCACTTAACATTAACGTATTTTTATTGTACAGACATCATAATCTTAACCACTCAAAATTTTTATTATCATCAAAGATCACCTGTGCAAAAAATCATTTCAATTTCTTGCACCAAGTTCGAATCACCCTTCTCGTGAGAAAACAACTTGAATTACAATGGCTAGTTTAAAATTTGCATTTTGCCCCAAAAGTTAGATAACTGAAGCATGGAGTGGAGTTTATGTTCACTCTTGTGTTCTCACATGGCTCCTGGTAATATCCTTGACACTAGACAGCCAGAAAGGGCCAATATCAGCTCAAACTCATCCTTCAGCATTTCGATCACCCGCCGCCTCACTCGGCCTTCCAACCTGCACCGACATTGAGAACAAGTCCAGGCACAACCAAAATAGACCAAGTTTTAAGAGTTAAAGTGGTGGTGGATATGATTCTTACAAGAACAGCTTGTGCACCGAGAGCTAACTCCTTGAACGTCTGTCCCTCGGTGTACTCCTCCATCGAAAAGAAGAGGAACTTTTCCTACAACAGCACGAACCACCTGAACACTTTATCATACAACTTTCCAATTGAATTCGTCACAGGATAAAAAGAAATGATGAAGTAGCAGCAGACAGATTGCACCTCTTCCAGGACAGAAATATTGGAAGGAGTGTTATCGAGTTGGCGGCCTCCATGGTTCGAGACAACCACCCCAGCAACTCCTACTTCCACGGCCGTTCTTGCTGAAAAATGGTAAAACGACAGACATTGATCAGAAGGGCTAATCTGGACGCACGTCGACTTAAGAGTCAGTTGATCTTACCACTTCACGAGTAAGAACCCCCTTGATTAGGATTGGCATGTTTGTGACAGATTTCAGCCATCCTGTGTCCTGCATACTCGATCAATCACTGCAATAACTAGGCATTCAAGACGAAAGAAACCAGCTTTCGGGTTTCGAGCAATCTAGCCGTCTTAAACACTAGAAAAATTATATCAATTGGGCCCCTCTTGATATTTTAAGGATAAAATTTCTCGTGTAAAGAGTCATTCCTCTTTATATGACGCTTAACATCATCGTACTGTATAAACATTATATTCGGAATTAATGACTTTCTTTATCACTCTAAAGATCATCTATAGAAGAATAAACAATTTGGATTATGGCGTTTGTATGTGAAATGATATCATGCCATTATGTAAGGTAGATTGTCTTTTTTTATTTTTTATTTTTTGGCTACATCCAAAGATAATGACTGTTGAGATGCAATGAATGGTGAAATCAACTTAGATAGAAAATTGACCAAAATGCTCTATTATGCATGACATCATGGCTTAAATTGAAAAAAATTTACCCCGATTATATTCAATTTTTCTTCTAATTAGCTTGATCTCATTTATTGACATGATTGATTATTTAGGCATATAGTGCTCCTTAGAGCTTTGGTTGCCCACGATATGAGACTTGAAATCTAAAATCGAAGCGATTAACCAATATGAGACCAGAAACCAAAAGATTAAGCTGAAATGATGATTCTACTACCCTAAAGCAATCAATCACATAAACAAATGAGACCAAAGCTGAAGAAAATCGAGTAGAAGCTACGAGTTTCGTCTTTAAAAAAGTTGGATTACAACAGCTAGTTTTAGAATCTACAGTTCCATCCACGTCTCTGCAGAATATTATCTTAATTGATGTTTTTACAATAGAAAAATGATTCCTTCTCCTTTTGCGCACCTCTGTTTGTTTATGTCCACGGTTCTCCTCTAATTTATTCAATCCAGAGACCGGAAAATACAGAGAGTGTTGCGGGGAGAAAGAGATGTGTGAAATCACATCACTTAAATAAATTAGAGCATCGAATGGAGTTTATCACTTTCTGTTCTGACATGGCTCCTGGTAATATCCCTGATACGAGGACAGCCAGAAAGGGCCATTGTGAGCTCAAACTCATCCTTCAACATTTCGATCACCCTCTTAACTCCCTGTTTTCCGTTTGCTGCTAGGCCATAGACAACGGGCCTTCCAACCTGCAGCAACATTGTATCAATAAGAAAGGCCACACAAATAGTAGAAGTAGTTTAGGGGTTCAAATATGCAGTGTTGTGGATATGATTCTTACAAGGACAGCTTGTGCACCGAGGGCCAGCGCCTTGAACACATCTGTTCCTCGCCGTATTCCTCCATCAAAAAGAACAGGAATTTTTCCTCCAACAGCATGAACCACCTGAATACAGTGTGGATATAAATGTTATGCCGTTTTTGTGTCTCACAAGTTACACCAGTAAAAGTGATGAAGTGAGAGAGAGTAGCACCTCTTCCAGGACAGAAATAGTGGCAGGAGTATAATCGAGTTGACGCGCTCCATGGTTGGAGACAACAATCCCAGCAACACCTACCTCCATAGCCTTTCTTGCTGAAATGTAAAACAACCACCATTCAGAATCAGACAGTCCAATGTATCTCAACGCTGAATGTTATGACTTAGCTGTAACACAGAACTTGAGAATTTTGCTGCAGATTTTACTAAATGTTCAAGAATTTTGCTTTAAATTCCTGGAGAAGTTAGCATTTTCTAGACCTGTTGCCAAATTGATTTCCGTTTATGAGTATAATATTTACACATAGTAAGATTAGAAGATCTCAAGATATGAAGCCTTTATCAGTTGATATGTTACCATCTTCATGAGTGAGAACCCCCTTGATTAGAATTGGCAAGTTTGTAATAGATTTCAGCCACCCTATGTCCTGCACATGTGATCAATGCGATAACTAAGCATTCAAGAATTAAGAAACCACCTAGCACACCGGGAAATAAAAAGATCTCTAACAGATTGTCTACAAGCATATGAAAACGCAATCAGACGAGTCTCCTGAGTTATACCTCCCAGCACAGAGAAGCATCAAAAGTCCCTTTAGCAAAAGCTTCCAAGTTTGACCCTTCATCCTGCAGAGAAAGTGTCATGTGTATGGATAAAACGAACCCTTCACTTGGATTATGGCAGGACTAAAGTTTTCAGAAATAAACTATTCCACTCACACTGTCTACTTCAGTTGATATAAGGCCTTCGAAATTCCTCAACTGAGGCGCTACCATTCTGCGGCAGTTATCACAGTCATGCTTCAATCAAGAGGAGTACTATACAGTTAACAAAACAACATTCGACATGATGTTACACAGAAGAGTTTCTTTCCTATTATACTTCAAAGAACAAATTGCAAAACATGGAGAAACAACCACAGAAAAATAGGGGATGAGATTAACTTATTCTTTATGTCTGCCTCTCTTCGACCAAGTCTGGGAGTATCAGCGGTTAGGACAATAGCCTTGTATCCATTTTTTTCAGCTCTGCGAACCATCTGAGCTGAGATATCTCGTCTTTTGTAAACCTGTTCGAACAAGGGTACATTTGATAGGTTGAGCCCTCTTAGGCAGGACAAGAGTTGAAAACTGGAAGTAAGAGGGAATATTGCTGTCAAGAAAAATTTGACTTGGAAAATTAAAATGAACTCAAGAGAGGGTAAATACATATATTTGAAAGAACCGAACAGCATTGCAGCTCGAAGCAACCTCCTCCACAGTGCAGGTGGACATGTAGGACAAAATCTACAAAGAAAAATACCACAACTCAAATACCAAACAACGCATGCTGCTTTAGCAGTTGCAATGCATGTCATAACTTATACGGATACCATTATGGTGTTACACGCAGCTGCTGCTCTAGCAGTTGCAACCTCTCCTACATTGAATATAAAGAGCAGGTAAAAATTAGCGTCTTATAGACTTAAACCAATCTCAGCGGAGAAATCTTGGAAGACTATTCAGATTTTAGACCTTCGGGGTGGGCCAATTGATGCATGGCAGTAGGAGCAAGCATTATAGGTGCTGAGATTTTGTAACCCAATACGGTGGTTGACATATCTACTCTGCTAACATCGACAAGAATTCTAGGCCGCAACCTGGAACAAAGACACAGGACTCACTCATGTAATTACACCATATGTTGGAGCATTCAGCAGTAGAATTAAACATTTACGTGATTCTGCGAAATGCTTCAACGTTCTCTTTTAGTGTGTGCTGGTCCTCAGCTCCCCCAGTGTAGTAATCATAGTACATTTTCGGAAGGGCTTGCCTAGCCAATTCTTGGTACTCATTCACATTGACGGGTTCGGATGCCATTTATCCTGAAAACATAAACATTAACCACTCCTAGCTTTCGAGTTTTCGAGCAATCTATCCTAGATCAGACCGTATAATCACTGACAATCTATCCTAGATGATACTGTATAATCACTTGGAATCTCAAAGTTTGATGAAACATATGAATATGATGGCAATACAATCTCAAATTCATAAACTCATCAATTTTATATTTTCCTGCCTGAAATTTGAAAAATATTTGCAGAACAACATGAAATTTCACAAGTAGCACTAAAACAATTAAGGGAGTTGCTTCAAATCCATTAGAAAAAGAAAGCATGATGATCCGTCCACTCAAAAAAAAAAAAAAAAACAAAAAACAAAAAACAAAAGAGCTACAGACTTACCTGTGCTGTGAGTTGAAACTTGCAAAACCCTAATTTGTCGCTGACCAAGTTCTTTGTTGAATTTTGGATGAGAGAAATGGAGAATCGTCCTCGATTGAGTAGTTCTGCGCTTGGGACTGAGTAAAAAATTGATCTATATTTTTATTTGATGTTTTTGTCCGTTTCTGGGAATATTATTGCTCATGATATATGTGGGGCCCAGAAATTTGGCTTGGAGCTTTGGCAGTACTTAGGTTTTTATTTATTTTTATTTTTATTATAATAATTAAAAGCGCTTACGACAATGTTTAATAGAAAAAAAAAAAAAAATCTTTTGCACAAAAATTTTGTACTCGTAGCAAAATTACCCGCAGCAAAAACCCTTACGAGCAGAAGTGATTCCTACTCGACAGACCGTTAATGGACTTGAGCAATAGAGAGGTTTGAGTTGTGATTAGGTGCAGCAGCTCCAGCAAGCAGACTTTGAGTTGTTGCAGTAGGCAGTAGAATCACTTGGGATATTTTGATGCTTATGGTGCACAACTAAAAGCTTCAACGTATAACAAGTAAAAGAGCTGCTTCAAGTGCAGATAAAAAACATGGGGAACCACGTATCAAATTTCACAAGTAAAAGAGCTGCTTCAAGTAAAAGAGCTGCTTCACAGTTATGCATATCACATGACTGCGGTTCATCCTGATAGCATATATTTCAACCACCAGAGTTTATCCCTGCAGGACGTGAGAAAGGACGTGCATCCGTATTGTATTGATATGTTGTCGAAAATGTCTTGATGGTGTGCTCATCAACCTTCGCTTTATGTATCAAAAATCAGGGACAGGAGTTGCTCTTGACTCAGTCTGGTGTCAGCAGAGAAGATGTAAACTACATAAACGTATATGCTACATCAACACCGACGGGTGATCTGAAAGAATATTTCACTCTAATCCGCTGTCTTGGGAAGAATCCGGAGGTAAACAAAAACGTCTTCCCAGTCACTTAAATTATGAGATGACTCTATGCTGAAAAACTATGATCTGATTATTGCAGCTAAGAGTGAACTCCACAAAATCCATGATTGATCACCTTTTGGGAGCCTCAGGTGCTGTGGAGGCTGTTGGAACAATCAAGTTTTAATTTAGTGAGTCTCCACTTTGTTGGACGAGGTCACGAGTTCAATTATCATGGACGACAATTGATGAATACAAAAAAAAAGTACAACTTGTTTTTTTTGGCTTGCAAAAAAGATTTAAAGAGGAGATTAAAAAGGTCGTACCCAGTGCACAAGGCTCTCGCTTTACGCAGGGTCTGGGAGAGGTGAATGTAGGCTATGCAGACGGGATGTATCCATCCGAACATCAATCTCGAAAATCCAAACGAAAGTGTGGTATGCATCTCTAGTCGTTTACAAGCAAATTTTACGTTTTCATTGAATATTTTCAATGCATTTTCTTTTTCTGATATATGCATATACTGAATATGATGAGCAATACATGAATGTGTTTGTTGGACCAAACAAGGAAAAGCTGGACATGAAAGTTGTATCTCTAACTCATTTAGTCAAAAAATCCATCATCCCATATAATTTTACAAGATATTGGCCAAAATCCACTAATGTGAAGGTAGATGTGTGTTTCCGACTGTTATACCATTTTTATTAAAAATAAAATCCTTGTAATTTATTTACTTTTAGTAAAAGTTTGTTGATTGTGAACGAGGTTTTCCAACTTTTCTTTGTTAATTCAAGTGATACTGGAGGAGCGAGAAATTATACTCAAGGCATTGTGTGCACGGGTGAATGCTTTTAACCGAGCTACAACACCCCACCCCTTCGTGGAGCAATAGAGCCGTCTGAGCTGATTTGGTACAAATTGGTTTTCTGCATCGAGTTTGATTGGTTTGTAGCAATTTATGGTTCGACACGATTCGAGTCGTCACCAAAGCACTTACCAGTTTTGCGCAAGCTCATTTACCCATGGCTGACCAGTGAAAAGTGGCAACTAAAATCGCTATTACACAACGGAATGCATTGATCTCGTCGATCTTGTAGTGCAAGAATCATAAACAGTAAGACCGATTGACAGAATACACCGAACAAATGCGCTCCTGTCGATAGGAACTGACCGACCCTTCTCTTAAAACGCCACAAATAATGTTAGTCAGTAAGTGAACTTGACAAAATCTATTCCCTTTTACTTAGTAGTATGACGACTGATAAGATCCCACGACTCAATTTGTTCTTTTGAGGGGTCTCTTTCATAAGGGTGGATATGTCCCCATAAGCAGAGGTTCTTACAGAATTAATTTTCCCAATCAAACTCCGCGTGACCAACAAAAGTAACCCCAAAACATCATTTAAATCTTTCATGAGGATAAGGCAGCCAATCTGAAGTTCCCAAGTCTGGAATGGAATGGAAGCAGTCCACCGCAACAAACAGAAGCCCGTCAAAATCGTCACAAATTCAGAACATAGATGAGGCAGTTTGATCACCAGAGCTTTGTTTTGACCCAGAAAAGGAGGAAAACCACTCCAAGCACAATGGCAATAGGTGCATACTTTCGGATCAGAGCCTACATTTAAGAAGTGAAATGATAAAGTAGTAAGTTTCAGCTAGATACTACTCGAGAAAATAAGGGCCTGTTTGGTACTCTACTTGAATCCAACTTTTTAAACTCAAAAACAATTTTCAAGTTTTAGACCTTAAAAACTTGTTTGGTGGGCCTATTTTCAAAAACTAAACTCAAGATTAACTCAAAAATACAGTCTATTCTCTAAAAAAACAGAAAGTGAGTTTTTAAAGTTTTTAAACTTAAACGCACTTATTTCTTTTCTCTCCCTCCTCCCCTCTCACTCCAAATCTATCTCTCTTTTCTTCTTTCCATCTCCCCTTTTTTTATCTTCTTTTTTTACCTTTTTCGTCTCTCCTCCAATCCACTCTCTTCATTCTCTCGGTTCTTTCTCTCACTCCTCTTCCTCTCTATCTCCTCTGATCCTCTCTCTTTTTTCTCTTTTCTCCAATCATGTCTTACTTTCTTTTCTTCTCTCTCCTCTTTCTCCCTTCACCCTCTCTTTTGGGATCTCTTTGTCCAGTTTAAGTTGTAAGATTTAACATTTTTAAATCGCATACCAAATAAGTTTGAGTCCTAAAAAAAATTGCTTTCAAGAAAAGTTCTTAAGAAATGTTTTGAGAAATGATAAAAAAATTTCAAATAGGATATCAAACAAGTCCTAAAAGTTCACATATGATCTAATTCTTTGACAAAAACAGCTTCAATCAAGAGAACTCATGGCAGATTGGAGAAGGCAACATAATTGTATTATTCCTAATTCAAACAAATGTGGCTATTCAGACCTATTTCGTACAAAGAAAACAAAAAACCCCAATTATTAGGGCTTAGTAATAGCACCAGCATACAGCACCATCAGCAACAGCTAACTGAATTTTACAAGCCCAGCAGCTTGAATAAATAACAGCTTTTGAACGAGCATTCAAGTAAACAAAAGAAAGGTGTCATGTAAATGCCGCCACCACAGCTGCATTCATACCCAACACAAGACACTACAACTTTATTGAATTTGAGACATACAGAAGATGTCCCATCCAAGGGAATGATAATGGAAATGATTAGACGCTACATTATTCAAACAAGTATCAAGGACAGGGTGTGCAGGGAAATCATATGATATGTAATGTTTGGGAAGTCCACCTAGTATTAGTTTAGACTATTGCCCATCACAGCTAGTCAGATAAGACTAACCTGTCGATTCAAATCTCTCGCTTTATCAGCATACACACGAGATTCTGATGTTAAACGGCTGGACATTTGACTAACCTCTGTAAAATGAAATTCGGGAGGAAAATTATCACCCATCCACACACACACACACACACACACACACAAAAAAAAAAAATGAAAAAAAAAAAAGGACACCCCTTCCATCTAGAAGCAAAAAGAGACTTACGGTCCAACTTTTCACCAACACCAAGCACTTCCTGAACATTGCGAGTCATTATTTGGTGGACTTCATAGAGCTCATCATTCAACTTTGCAATATTCCTCTGAGTGCGAGTGTCCTGGTACAATTTCTTTGTTTTCTGTATGAATGTATCTTTTAAACACAAAAAGTGGAAGGAAATCAAACACAGCTAAAGAAGAACCAAAATGTAGACAATAAGTACAAAATTCTACTTAACATATGAGGGACAACAATTTCTGGCAATAGACCTACCAAATTTAATGAATGCATAAGGCCTTGCAGCAGTTTCAATTTGGGTCCCGTTAACACGCTCAAATTCATTCTTGAGATCTTCAAGGTATTGGAAGGCAAGTTTCTTTGGATAGGCACGGTCGCACATTGTTAAGTAACACACACGTCCTTCGATGATATAGCTAAGAATAAGGGTCAAGGCAGTAACAGTTGTATGTTCGTCCTCTAACGAGAACAATGAATACATAGCATTCAGTTTAATTCATTGATAAGACAATTACTGAATGAGCAACTTAAATTTAATGACAACAGCAGTTAAGTGAAACTAACATATTATCTGCCAATATTAGATTAAGTCAACAGATGTGCAACAAACCGCACACAGTTTATAAACACCATAAATCATAAAGACAAAAGTGACAAGGATACTGGAAAACAAAAGGACCAGTTTCAACTGACATCCTTGAAGGCTCATTTTGGCCTCTTGACAAGTTCTTGAATAAAGCCTTGACTTGTTGTTTGTAGAATTCCGAGTCTTTTACATCACGGCCATCATCCAGTCCCTCTGCTAGTGGAAGACCATCAGTAACACGAGCAATCATTGTCAGCTTCACCATCTTCACTTCACAACTTCCCAGCAATGCGAAAACTGCCCCATGTCAAAATCATCAAATCCCAGATCCAGAATAACTTGAAAAATCCAAAAACTACCAAGAAATACAGCAATAATATACTCACATTGCCAGACAGCCTTATACGATATGCATTATCTTCCTAAGAAAAGATCTACACCGTTAAATAACTAGTCCACCCGATTTTCTGATAAGGTTAAACATGAAGACTTAGAAATTGGGTTCTATGCCAATACAGTTAAAACCCAAATCCCATGTTCAATATCTAACAAAATTAAACCTTAAAAGAGAGCCAAGTTTTGTTTTATAATTAATTGTGCTTTTAGCTAACAAAAAT